AAAATGGATAACACGACGAAGAACAAATTTGCTGAAGCCATAGCTAAATGTATGACTACTGCATGCAAGCCTATCAACATTGTCCGCAGCTTGACTCAAGCTGAAATCATTCGCATTGCATCTAACGACTCTACTACAGATTGCCAGCAGAGTCTCCATTACAAGCTGTGTACAGAGATTGTATGTAGCGGAGAAGGCTAAGGTACACCAAGTGGGAGAAGACAGTGTTTCGGGAGAGAAATAAGAGATTAGGTTAATGAGCCTCTGGTGAATTAAGAGCAGGTAGCCTGTCGAATACGATGTATGCCACTGGCGCGATTGTAACTTGTTTGGAACTATTTTGTGTGGAAGGTTACAGTGTTCTGTGTCCATATAAATAAAGGGGGTGGAGCTTCTCTGTGTTCCTCTGACAGTGACGGTGCGCTGAGGCACGTCGAGAGTTCAGCGGTGCAGTGGTAGCGACCACACTGAAAATAAAACGTCTCCAGTGTTGTGCCTCGAACCAAGTGCAGTTATCCGAAATGATGTCTCCACAAAACCATAGAGAGACTTCCACACCAGAAGGACCAACAGAATCAACATAGCCTGACTGCCGTGTTCAAAGAAAACTTGAGACGAAGTATGCAACCATGGCTTGAATCCACTAAAGGCTGAGTACTAGTTTACCATAGATGTGCACTTTATAATTTTATATTGCTCTGTTTTAATTCCCTAAAAAGAGCTGTTAAAGGAGCTGTTGTGTGACAATTTTTTTTTCACTGTTGTTGATGGACAGTAATATTGTGTGAGAGATTATGTGTAACTGCTCCAAGTGAAAAATGTTCATGTAAAATTGAAAATCGAAACTGTTGTTTCAGTAAATATTTGCATTTTGCACATAGAAAACTGATCCATGATTCCATGTTGATGAGAGCATTAAAACGGGAAAAAAATAGGACAAAAAAATATAAACGGAAATTTAGAAACGATAAAAAATGTGCGAGTAATCACGATTAATTATGAGTTATTATGAGTTAATTATGACAGTTGTGTTTATAATCACGATTAAATATTTTAATCGTTTGGCAGCATTAGTTTGAACATTATAGTATTGTCTTTGATGTTAAAGTTACCTATATTATATTCCCTTTAATAATTTCTTCAACACGTTTATGTTGAGTGCATCTGATTGGTTGAAGGAAACGCTGGAAGAACATTGTGTTCTCGAACGTGCTGTGGTGCAGACGTCTTTTTTTCTTCTTTTCAACAAAACTGCATTCAAAGGATTCCATCTCTCCTTTTGCCATTCGTAGAGTTATCCACTAAAAACAACGAACCCCTCAATTTACATAAAGTTCCAGATTGATTGCTTTCGCGACTTGTTGTCTTTTGCCTGTTCATTTGCTTAACACGGATGCTCAACTCAACTCAACTCAACTCAACTGTATTTATAGAGCACTTTCAAACAGCCATCGCTGCATACAAAGTGCTGTACATGAAGCAAATTAACATATACAACAAACAGTGAAGCAAATCGGTAATAAAAACAGTAGAAAGCACCGAACAGCAAAACCAAGAACAATCTAAGTCATGCTGAGTCAAATGCCAAAGAATACAAGTGAGTTTTGAGGCGGGTTTTGAAGATGGGCAGCGAGGAGGCTTGCCGAATGCTCAGTGGGAGGTCATTCCAGAGAGAGGGACCAGCAACAGAAAAGGCTCGATCCCCCCTGAGCCTCAGTTTAGTTCTTGGTACTTCTAATAATGTCTGGTCCACAGACCTGAGGCGCCGGGCAGGTGTGTAGGGGCGGATGAGCTCAGAGAGGTAAGGTGGCGCAAGGTTATTTAGAGATTTGAAAACAAATAAGAGGATCTTGAAAATAACTCAAAAAGGTATGGGAAGCCAGGGAAGGGATGCCAGAGTAGGAGTTATGTGCTCCCTCTTACGAGTACCGGTCAAGAGG